ATAGAGACGGGGTTTCACCATGTTGACCAGGATGGTCTCGATCTCTTGACCTCATGATCCACCTGCCTCGGCCTCCCAAAGTGCTGGGATTACAGGCTTGAGCCACCGCGCCCGGCAAGAGACCCTGTTTCTAAAAAACAATTTAAAAATTAGCTGGGCATGGTGCATGCACCTTTAGTCCCAGCTATTCAAGGGGCTAGGGAGGATTGCTTGAGCCTGGGAGGTCAGGGCTGCCATGAACCTGATTGTACCACTGTTCTTCAACCTGGGTGACAGAGTGAGATCTTGCCTCGAAAAAAAAATAAATAAATAAAATAAAATATGGTATTCTTATATGTAAAACTCCCATCTACGGAGAGCTGACTTTTATATCCACAGGCAGTCCAGAATCCAGTCCTCTGAGGGACGACCGCACTGTAATCTTGTGCTCAAAACCCTCAAGGATCCAGAGTAATCTTAGGCAGCTGCATCCTGATGTCAGCATGCCAAATTTGGGAGAACTTTACTATTCCTTGTCTTGTGTATTGTCTGGTTAGGGAAGAAGAAAATATTAAGCAGAACTTGAAGTTCACTGAAAGGGTGTGTCCTTCAGAATGACCTTATTGCAATGTCAGGAGTGATTTTGCACATTATCCATCTCCTGGTTACATGTGCTTTCTCTTTTCTTTTAAAGAAGGCAGGGCAGAGGTCAGTTGTGCATTCAAATGTCGTAACTCTGGAGTTTTGCTTGTTTTACTAGGAAGCTAGCAAAGACTGACTTGTAATTGGCAAGAATCACCTCTAGGAATAGAATTACAGAATTACATAATTTGAGATAGTTGGGCTTTCTTACCCTAGAATATCTCCCAACCCACAGGATACTATATCTGAAAACCTCACTAAGGGTGCCTTTTCCAGGCACTAATTGATTAGTGTGTGTTATTTTTCATATTTTCTTCTCTTTCAGGCATTGAGGTGTTATACAGGAATAGACAACTTCAGAGCATTACTGACTGGGAAGGGCAGCCTTTAAAGAGGTATCTCAGTTGGGGCTTTAGGAAGTGATATAGAAGCATGAGGCTACCGGAGCAGACATGGGATATTATAGAAAGGAAAGGTGTGAAAAAATGTGGAGGTGAGAGGGTGCAAAAAATAATCTCCATTTTATTTTTGTAATTGTAAATAGGAAAGAGTGACACAAGAGGAATAGTAGCATGGACATAGGAATGTATGATAAAACTAAAGACTCAAACAATTAGCAAATTAATAAAAACATGGTTCCTTTTATGCTTATATCTAATGAATGATATCTTTATATCTTTTTTTTTTTTTTTTTTTTTTGAGATGGAGCTTCGCTCTTGTTACCCAGGCTGGAGTGCAATGGCGCAATCTCGGCTCACCGCAACCTCCGTCT